CCCCAAATCTAAGTGTAAGAGGCTATGATGTCATTGATGCAGCTAAGGATGCGGTGGAGGCAGCCTGCCCAGGAGTTGTGTCTTGTGCTGATATCATAGCTATGGCTACAAGAGATGCTGTTTCCCTGGTAACATTTTTTCACTTCATCTTCCTTTTTAGATAAATGTGTACAAACATATATTATAACCTGAAAGTTCTGTACGCACCCAATTTTCCTGCAGAGTAGAGGAGGAAGATACAATGTAGAAACAGGCAGAAGAGACGGCCTTGAATCTCTTGCTTCAAATGTTGTTCTCCCTTCACCGCAAATGACTGTTTCGCAATCTGTTTCTGTCTTTGCTAAGAAAGGATTTTCTCCTAAAGACATGGTTTATCTTCTTGGTATATATATAATATATAATTCCACTTGCTCAATTATATTTTCACTTGTTTCTTTCTCAAAATTCTGATTATTATTAATGGTATATATTTAGGTGGACACACTGTTGGGTTTGCACATTGTGTTTTCTTTCAGGATCGTTTGTATAATTTCCAGAACACAGGCAAACCAGACCCAACCATGAACTCAACATTGCTTCAGGCGCTCCGGTTCATGTGTCCTCAGAATTCACTACGAAATAATGCTGTAAATCTTGATCAGAATCCCTCTAGTTCATTCACTGTTGATAACTCCTTCTACAAGCAAATTCTTCTAAATAGAGGGATTCTCCAGATAGATCAAGAGCTAGCTCTGGATTCAATAACAAAGGACATAGTCAAGGGTATTGCTACCAGCAATGACTTCATAACGAAATTTGCTGAGGCAATGGTTAAGTTAGGTCGTACAGAAGTCCTTACGGACACACAAGGAGAGATTAGAAGATCATGTCGTTCCGTCAACAACAACAACAACAATAGTAATAACAGCTTCTTAACAAAAATATTTCCTTAGGGAAGAGAAGAATATCGGCATATCTTTTTGTCTATTGTTTAATTTCATTTGTTATTTTCTGGGTTTTCATTATTCTGTACTACTGCATACCTTTTCTTGTGTTCTTCCATTATTTGTACTTGATTCAATTGCCACCAAGTTATATTGAATGATTACCAAAACTTACCTTTTGATTTAAAAGCAACAACTTAAATGTTTATTAGTTTCATACACCATAGGTGTTAGAATATAAATAATTAATTAAATATTTTTTCTTTCAGTTTAAATTTATAAAACAATTGACTCAATTAATTATTATGGTATTAGAGGTAGAGATCTAGTATTCAGCTTCACATAAGGTTTAGTAGGTCTGTACATGATTCATGTTTTTATGATAGGTTATGTTTGAAAGGATTTGTTAGAATATAAATAATTGATTAAATTACTTTTTATCAGTTTAAACTTTTGAGTAATTGATTGGATCAATTATTTAAGATGGTCATGTCTTTGATGATCTTGATTTCATGGCATCTCCTCTCATTGCATCATATTATATAGAAAGCAACCGAGTTGCAGCAGTGAATAAAAGGTAGATACAGCAATGTCAGGCTTATTCGATTATTTTTCAGATTCATGGGATTGGGAGATAACCCTTTTCCTCTAATGATCTTCCCAATCTAGTACAAGAGATTTACACCACTAGGTAACCAAGAGTTCTATTATTGAACTTAGGATTTTAGGAGTAAAATCTTAAATGTATCATGCTACATAAAGACTGCGCCTTTAAGATTGTAAGGTAAGTGTGGAGCAAAGGTACAAGATGCACACGGCCATATTACTAATTTAAAAAAAAAAATTCCCGATTCAAGTTTATGGTTGTGATTTCATCATAAGTTCTTGCGAGATACAAGCACTACCTTTACTGATAAGCTGGTCGCATAGGTAGTATAATGCTAATAGTGAAAAAATAAAATACTAGTGATGTAGACAAATTCCAATTTAGAATAAATATTTATCCCTTTAGCCATATGTTGATTTTTTGTATACCAGCTTCAAAGGCAACTAGACAAAAGGACATATATCCAGTAAGCCATAACGAGCATAACTATTGGATCTAAATTGTTGAAACTGAAAACTACAGGAAGCAAACCTTGAACAGAATTAAGCAGCTAGCTTAACGTTCTTCTAATCTTGTTCTCTTTTCATAAATGAAAATTGACTGTCCCCACTGATTCGACATTTGGCCCTTCTGTTGAATGAATCTGAGGAATATTATTGCTTGAAACTGAGTGACCCGCTTGCCAGGTATGATTGAAGGCAGTTCTATTTCTTAGTGGTCCCAACATAGCAAAGATAATCATCTCTTGATTGGCATATTCTGCAGAGATGTTGGAAACGGGAAAGCTCAGATTTCTGGGTTGCATCAAGGGCATGTAACTGGTTATCGGTGTTGTATGAGCCTCCATACTTCCATTGGAACTCCGAAAAGCAACAAGAGCTTGTGTTCCAACCATGCCTAGTCCAGTTGGATTGATTCCCCATGCAATCCACCCGGTTATTGACTGGCTTGCTCTGTAAGCAATCTGAATGCTTTTTGTCAGTGGGATGTAATTCCAGTGCAGATGGGCCTGCAGGACTGGAAGATCAATGCAAGAATTGAAAACTTGGTTGCCTGGAAATTTATAGGTTGAGCAGTTTTCCGCAGAGGAAACCAAGAAGGAAGCTGTAAGCATGAAGATTATCACGATTAGTCTTGAGGTTATAGCCATTGGAAGTGTTTGAAGGCTTGCAAGATATGTACTTGTGGTTACAATGGCTGCTTTTTCTATGGAGGCAACATCATTTTCCTTCACTGAAAATTTGGCATTGTTTTCTTATAATCCAATGTTTGTATTGATTGAGATGTTCACAGTAGAATTCTTGCTTCTTTCTCTTCCGGCCTTGTATAAAATAAGCATCAGAGACAGGTAGTTTTAAAAACCAACCGGCCAGTGATATTCTCTCTTTCAACATTA